CGCCCCAGGGTACAGCCAAAAAGTTAAAAGAAAAAAAAAGGTAACTACTATCCTAAATTTTATGGTTACTGTTTCCATCTGTGCTTTTAATACACATGTAAATACCCCTAAATAATGCATAGTCTTATTTTGTTTATTTTGAAATATAATTATGATTGTCATTCTGTAATCTACAATTTTTTGTCTCTCACCATTGTGAGATTCAACCATGTGGATCTGTGCATCTATGGATCATTCATTTTTCACTGGATAGAACTCCAGATATGATACTGTCTGTTCTTCTGTTTGGTCCTAAAGTTTGTCTTCATCTTTTTGCTGGTATAAAAACTTATGCACATGTACTAGAGTTTCTCTCCAGTGTATGCTTAGAAATGGAAGTAACTCAGAACTGCATTATCTACAACTTTGCTTCATTCTCTTTATTCTTTCTTCATTCTTTTAATTGGCTGCCTAATATTCCCTTGTATTAGCATGTCCTAATTTAGTCAGTCTGCTCATCATTGCTACTAAAATCATTTGCAATTTTTGCTGCAGTCTGTATATGCCTTCTGCACATGCAAGAGTATTTCTTTAGCATAAAATTGCTGGGTGAGAGGGTTTTAATGAGGCCAGTCTTATAATTTACTAATTATTTTTCTAATTAAATGATCTCATCAGATGAGGTCAGATATCTCATAAGTTAAAATGTTTCAAGTTCCACAGTATTTTTCAGCCCTGAATCTACTTCCTAATTAAATATTAAATAGTACTATTTTTGTAGCATACAGTCCCTACCCCAGTCCAAATATGGACATACTTTTATGAAACAAGTATTAATAATTTTTTAATAAAAACATTACTTAGGAAGTTCACATGTTGAATATTTCCTGTGCAAATGATATATGTAAATGTAGAGCCGAATCATGGTGCTGTGAGCCTGAACACTGTAAATCAGCTGTGCTTGCGTGCTAAGCTGCCTTAGTCGTGTCCAAGTCTGCAGCCCTGCGGACTACAGCCCGCCAGGCTCCTCTGTCTATGGTATTCTCCAGGCGAGAATACTGGAGCGGATTGCCATGCTCTCCTCCAAGGGATCTTCCCAGCCCAAGGATCGAACCCTCATCTTTTACATCTCCTGCATTGTGGGTTCTTTACCACTAGTCCCACCTGGGAAACCCAAAAACTACACTCCAGTATAAAATAAAAATTAAGTTAAAAACAAGAATAGACATGGTTATTCAAGAAAATGAGTATAAACTTTACCAGTATGGTTTTCAACTTGAGTCTGTCTTATCTAATTTTGAGCCTGGTCATTATATTTTAAGACTTTAGAATTTACACATAATTTAACAGCACAAGGGTTAACTGCTTCTTTGAATGGCCTGTGAGCAAAGAATGTTGAAATTTTTTTCATTGTTTATTTTCACTGTTAAGTGGTTGAGAAAAGAATAGTCCTATGTCGTGGTATGTAAAAATGAGAAAATATCCCAGCTTCGGTGCCCACAAATGGTTTGCTTGGAGCATGGCCGTGCTCATTTGCTCTGGGTTGTGTGTGTCTTTTTGCTACGACAGCAAAGATAAGTGAGCAGTTGCCAGAGAGATGCAGGTGGTGCTCCCATTGCTTTGAATTGCTGCTCAGCGTACTACCAGTAGCACTGATGCATTATAATTTGACAGTGTTTGATGTGCCACACACATCACTCTATTGTGACATTTAAAAAAAAATTACTAGTGATTACCCTTCAGGTAAAAACGAGGAGAGAGTGGACTTTGAATATTGTGCTTTTTAACACAGTGGAATGTGGGTTCTTTTTACAAAGTCAGATGGCAGATCATTGTGTTTTCTATGTAAAGGAACTGTACTAAAGAATATGTTGCCAAACTAACCACTTAAAACAACATCCCCGGCTCACAGGAAAGCAATGGTCAGAAAAACTAGAAAATTTAAAATATATCTCCTCACTGAGAGTTTCTTCACAAAAGTAAGATTCTAATGAGGCTGTAACCAAAGTGGCTCACATGTTAGCAAGCAAGAAAACCATTCACCAGTGTGTAGCTGTAACAGCCAGAGATACGTGTACAGAGAAAATAATCTTATTTCAGACCATTAGACTTTCAGTAATAACTTTTGATTGAGGAGGTGGGGACCTTGAGAGCAATGTCAGTTCATCAAAAGGCAAGCAAATTATTTGAGTAGTTTTTTTTTTGGCTTGAGTTGACAGATAGTACTGCCTTATCTGTCAACAACTACTGCCTTGTTATTTGGAGTCAGTGCCAGGTTTGAAGTGACTGAAGAATTGGCCTCTGCGAATGGTCTGTAGAGAACAAGTGCAGGCAAGAATGTTTTCAAACAAGTGCTGCTGCTGCTAAGTCGCTTCAGTCGTGTCCGACTCTGGGCGACCCCATAGACGGCAGCCCACCAGGCTCCGCCGTCCCTGGGATTCTCCAGGCAAGAACACTGGAGTGGGTTGCCATTTCCTTCTCCAATGCATGAAAGTGAAAAGTGAAAGTGAAGTCGCTCAGTCGTGTCCGACTCTTAGCAACCCCATGGGCTACAGCTTACCAGGCCTCTCCATCCATGGGGTATTTTAGGCAAGAGTACTGGAGTGCCATTGCCTTCTCCATCAAACAAATTGAGAAGACACAAAACTTGTACAACCTGAAGCAGAATCTGCTAGGATGTGTTACGATGAATGGTGGTGAAAATAATACCTCTGTAGGAGAAGGGTTTGATGGACAGAGTTACAAAGCTTGCAAAACTTAAGTGTTTACTGATGTGTTTAAAATGGATAACCAACAAGGGCTCACTGTATCGCATATGGAACTCTGCTCAATGTTATGTGGCAGCCTGGATGTTGGAGGGGAGCTTGGGAGAGAATAATACATGTATATGTCTGGCTGAGCTGTTCTGCTATGCACCTGAAACTATCACAACATGGTTAATCAGCTATATTCTAATATAAAATAAAAAGTTTAAAAAACTGTAAGGAGGACCCAGGCAGCGGCGGCGGCGGCGGGCTTGCCGCGCCCCGCTCCGCCTCCCCCCCCCAAAAAAAAAAAACCTGTAAGGTGTTTCAAGCCTACGGTTATCTTATTATGTGTCAATAGATGCTTTACAGAGTGTTTGAATCTGTCGTGTATGATTACCTTATTGAACTTGTGGTATTGCCAGTGAATTTTACTCACTCTCTTTGATTTCATCAACAACAGTTCTGTGAATTTTTGTCAGAAATAAGAACTGAATATTCTGACTTGCCCTACCAAGCAGCAGTTCTGGGGCTTAGCAGTGATAAAATTTTATTTATTTATTTTTAAGCTCTGGAATAAGAATTGAAAATTTTCCAAGTGAGAAAGTTTTTGAGTGCCTTCAACTACTGTTATCTTTTTGAAAATTAGTTTTTGCTTCAGACCTGATAATGTTTCTTAGTGAATTCAACCTAAAATTATTAAGACAGTGCTTCTGTGCAAAACTTATGTTGCATTCAAGTCACTTTGGTGACACCAAACTACAAGAAATATCAAGCTAATTGACGAGGTTCCACCTAACCTTTGATTGAAAGTGATTCATCTGTAATGTTATGATAAGGTAGATATCTTTTGAAGAAAGACTCTTAATAGAATTTGATGTGGATACCTTCCAAGTCATGGATATGCTCCATTAAATCTTGTGCTTATGGATTAATAACATCATTTGGCAGTATCTTATCTAGGCTGTGTGAAAGGAAACCTTCAAGATATATCAAAGTCTCCTATGTTATGTGGCAGTTTGGGGGAGAATGGATACGTGTATATGTATGACTGAGCACCTTTGCTGTGCCCCTGAAGATATCACAACATTGTTTATCAGCTATGCTCTAAAATAAAAGTTTTTTAAAAAGTCAGTGGACAAGCCATATCTTTTAATGCTATAGAGATTGTTTCAGGACTTTTTTTACTTTACTAAAGTGTTGCACAAATGTTTGATAGTAAATAAATATGGATTGAGAAAAATATTTTAAATTGAAAAATAAATCTCTTCATAAAAAGAAGCCTCATTATAGATCCATATTAACAGATTAATATTTGTGATCAGTTTTGATAAGGAACATTGAATTTGAGTCCCAGTTAATTTGAATTCCTCCAAAAGGAATTACATTCTCCTTAGTACTCCTGTATTAGCAAAAAAAAAAAAAAAAAAAGATACTGAGTTATTTTGAATTTCAAAATAAAGATAAAATACTTAGTTGAAATTTTGAATTTCATCAATAAAAATTTTATGGAAATTAGTTTTTCTCTTTTCCTATACAAGTACCTGTGTGATATTCTCAAATGCCCTCTTGAGCCACAAAACCTAAAATATTTACTATCTGCTGTTTTTAGGAAGTTTGCCAATCTCTGGCTTAGAGCAGTGTGACTCAGAACAACCATTTTTCTGACACTTTTTCAACAGTGTTTTTGTTTCCTTGCTGTTTCCTCACAGCAAGAAAAGTAGAGTAGAGAGCTTATTATCTTTTCTAGAAGGTCTTGGTCCCTATCCTTCCAGGAGAGCTTTATGAGCTTGTCATTTATAATGGAGTTTTATATTAGACCTGCCTTGAAGATGTATCATATCTTAATTCCTCCTAGATTTGACCTTGGAAATCACTCAAGGCCAACCATTGTGTGTGTGTCTAATTAAAGCAGTGAAATTTGTTACTATTGACTCAGTCCTCAAAGCAGACTGAGAGATGGTGAGGAGTATGTTTTGTAAGGCTTGTAAGTCATATTTTACTAAAAACTTGTGTTAGCTGATGTCAGAATATATTTACTTTTTACAGCTCTGCCTGTTAAATAGGTTGCTGCTCATGTTTTAGAGCATGTACTACTTTGTGAAAAATTTAAACCTGGAATAAAGATAGTAGGAAGAAAACAAAATTCATCCATCCTTTGTGTAAAAACATCTACTGGAAACATTTTGGTGTTTTCCTTCCCTGCCTTAAGCCACTGATAGTTTATGTGTGCTTGTTTCGGTCTTACCCAAACAAGTGTTGATTTTTCCTTTGCAGGGAAATTTGTGAACGGTGTTGCAGAAGGGATGGTGGATCCCAACCTAAACCCCATTTCAGCCTTCCGACTTTCAGTTATTCAGAATTCTGCTGTTTGGGCCATTCTTAATGAGGTAAGACAATACATGAAATCAGTGAAACAGCTTAGATTCTACTTTTTTTTATTTTACAACATTTGGATTTCATACTTAAGATCTTTTTTGAATTGAAAATTGATTGCCATATCATGCTGTTCACTATCTTGTATTTCAGATCCATATTAAAAAAGTCACAAACTGACCATCTCCTAAGAAACCAACACATTTTTTTCCCCTGTGAATTTGTTGATTAAAGACAGCTGAGCACGTACGTTTTTTTGGTAACTTGAATTCTACCTCTCGTGAAATCTACTGTAGATAAAATGATTGTCATATTTCCACTTGGAAAATGAATCTCCCACGGATAGTTGTATTCATTTGAATCTAAGCTGTCCTCCAGTTTTAACTCAACTCAAACGTTTTACAGTTATGACAGCCTGTTAATATGACTTGTACTATTTTGGTATTATACTAATACATAAGAGTTGTACATATTGTTACATTCATTAAATTTGAGAAAAATTAATGTTAAATACATTTTATGAAGGGGGTACTTTTGAAGTTCATTTATTTTAGTATTATAGACCCTCTTTTATAGATGATCAGGGATTATATATATATATAAATATATAAATATACCTAAAATGTTATGGAGTTAATTTATTAGAAACACTTAAGAAGTACATATTTTTGTGCAGTAAATTTTTGAATCAATACTTTTTTTGAAAACCAGTTACCTTGCTTTTTTAAGTTCTTTCTATATTTTTCTTTGGAAATGCAAACATTACAAGTTAATGCCATTTTTCAAATGCACTGCCATTTAAGAATGATTCTAGATTGATTTCCTAACTGAAGTACTTTTATAATCACAGTGATTCTGAGCAAAATATTTTCAAAGCCGTTTGTCATTCCTTAAAGCCAAGATTTTAAAGACCAATGTCCTTCTTGAGGGTTATTTTACTATACTATGTATGGTGTATAGTCACAAAAAATCAGTCTGATAAGTTTTAATGTGCAAGGGTGTTGCATTTCAACCCAAATTACCATACACTGAAGTCATTACATTTCCTCTGATATGTAAAATGACAAACTCTTCTTTCTGTATTAATCTTTGTCTAAAATCCATGAATTAGATGCATTTTCTCTTGATGCTTTTATATCTGCACTCATTCTGAGTTCTGACAAAATGTTTTCTAGGTAATGTTGTTGTATGAGTCACAGTTGGTTTAATTTTAAAGAAAAATGTAATTGTAATGGTGGGGTTTTGGTGAAAGGTATTGTAACAGGTGTATGTTTTTCAAAATAATTTATTCTGTTCCAATATGAACTTCTAAGTAAATTCACATCCAAAGAGTATTTATTACTCTTAAACCTGCAATTCCACATGATGTCATTACTGTAGACAAAAATATTATCAGCCTTGGCGGTCAGTGATCTTAACGGAAGTCTTTTACAAAATTATGAATTATCAACATCAGTTCCCAATCACTGTGGTGTCCCCAGATGGGTTGCAGGCAGTTACAGGTGTGCAGAGGTGAAATCCTCTGGGCTTTCAGAATCGCCCATGGCTAAGGCCTTGGGCACTGGAGGTTCTAGCTGGTTGCCTTTAGCTTGGAGAAGTGTCACTTGTACCCAGTAGGCTGAACAAATAGCTTTCAAACAGCCTTATTTTCTCTACAGGGTCATGCAGTGAAAAAGGATGGAAAACACAGATAGGGCACAATTTTTTCCGTTACTTGAATGGTTCTTGATTTAAAAGTTAAATGTTGCCAACAATGATTATTTTTATGTCAAAGTCCAGTTAAACATTTTCCTCAAGGTTTTTAAAATTTACTTTGTATTTTCTTTAACTTACCTTTTCTTCCCAACTCTCCTTGGCCCAGTGCCTGCAGGGAAACTTCACTGGAAAAGCATAGCCTCTCATTATAAAACATTGGAACCAGCTTCATATACTAAATTGCTGCTCTAACAACTCAGTGTCAGGAGGTGAAAATCTGGAGGTGGGTTTAGAACCCCCTTGTTTCTCTGCTTCCCAAGTAGCTGACTCTGACTTGAGGAAGAAAGGCCATGCTCTGAGAGTGCAAGGAGGTGACAGTAACGGCAGTTCCTGGCCCTTTTTCAGGGTGTATGTCTTGAGACTGAGCCTTAGCCAGGCAGCTCTGCAGAGCTGGGGGTGAAAACTCACTAGCTCATCCCTCCTGTTCCTGAGAAGAGTTTTAGCCACATCTTATCTTTCAAGGACTCCCCTGTGTGCCCCTTCCTCCCTGTGAGTTTGTTGCCAGCGCCTCCTTGAGCCCAGAACACTGCCTGACACGTGGCAGGTACCCAGGCAGGATCTGGGGCGGGGGGGGGACCAACTCTTCCAGCCCACACTCCTCTTCCTTTTCCTGAACTCTCTTCAGCTGCTGTCCTTGCCCCACATTTGCGCGCGCGCGCACACACACACACACACACAGTCTCAACTGTCTCGTTTCTCCTTGTGGGGTGTGTGTGTGCACAGACACGTACTCACTCTGACCAAACGTCAAGCGCCTGTGGGCAAGCGTGTCCGTCGTGCTTCCTGTCCATCCGCTGCTGTACAGGTGTCCGTGGAGCCTCTTGATTGCTGAGCTCTCCTCCCCTGATTTCCTCTAGACAGTTAGAAGCTTGCCAAGAGCAGGCAGTCCTAGTGGTTGCCGTTAAGAATCATGTCAGGGACTGAAGTATTGGGACAGACGATTAGGGAGCCTGGAACAGAGAGGAGGTAAATACTTGCCCTTGAATGGACGCTGAACCACTTTTTCCCAAAGAGTGAGTGGGGAGAAGTGTCAGGTGGTGGGACTAATTTCACTTTTCCGTGTGTCTCTGGCATGATGTCTGTGCTGTCCTCTGCAGTACCACTGGACACCAGGCAGCTGCTTAAGTTAAGAAAACATTCAGCTCTGTAGTTACACTGGCTCTCCCTTGGCTAGTGGCCACTGGATCAAACAGCACAGATATAGAACATCTCCATCATCCCAGAAAATTCTATAGGACAGCACTGTGTCAAGAGTGCTAATATGAACATTTTAGGATCCTTTTTAGAATCATTTTAGAATAATGAGTTGCAATCATGAAGCTCAAAGCAGACATGCAGAATATATCATAGTGTAAATGATGATGAGTATTTGTGGGGAGAAGAGAAAGTTGAGGACCTATTTCCAGGTTTCTGAGATCCAGTTCTAAATTCTTTGCTGTCAGTCTCATGCGTTCTTTACGTTCTTACGTCACTGTCTCTGCTATTGTAAGATCTCCAACTTGAGGTTGAGGTTCCAAAGCTTGTGATAGGACAAGCTTTGGAAAACATGAATGCACGTGGATTATTTAGCACACAGGCTGTAGACATGTATGTATAGGTTAATTCAACTGTTGGAGATGTCTTTTATAGCTTTTTAGATCAACAATTGCATCAGTAAATAATTAGAAAAACTTCAGCAATGCTGTGAAGTCTTCTCTTAAATGTGTCCTAGTAATGAAAAAATTGTCTGCCAACAGTGCTGTCCTCGAAGCCAAGTGTGATTATATGCAAACAGCATGTTTGGAAAGATTACTCTAATTAATAGCAGTGTGTATTTGTAGCAGCCAGACTTCTGTGGATGACCCCCAGTGACTTTGTAGATTTTGAGTGTATGTGAACCTGTGAGTGTTATCCATAATTATGTTGTACAGCAAAAGGGAGATTATCTGGGAACAGCTAACCAATTCATGTGGGCCCTGAGTTTTCTCAGGCTGTCAGCAGAAGTCAGAGATTCAAAGCAGGAGGACTTGAGACACCATGGCTGGTTTCAGATGGGGGCAGCCACATGAGGAGAAATGCCTCTTGAGCTGAGAGGCCCCAGCTGGCAGCCAAGGGAATGGAAACTGCAGTCCTGCAGCCACAGGAATTGAACTCAGCCAGCAATCTGAAGGAGTCTGCAGATGGACTCTGCTTCAGCAGGCAAGAGCCTGGTCCCTGCCAGCACCTGGATTCCAGCCTTGTGAGACCTTGAGCAGAGAGTGCAGTCCTGTCTGCCTGGACTTCTGGCCTACAGAGCTGTGAGATTAATAAATGGGTGTTGTCTTAAGCTTTTAAAGTTGCCATGATTTAATGCAGCAATAGAAAATGAATATGATGTTTAAAAGAGGTGAAGCAGAAAAGTCTTCCTGCTTGATTCCTTCTGGTGTGTTATTTCATTTTTACTTTTTAAATTGGAGGATAACCGCTTTACAATATTGTGTTGGTTTCTGCCATACATCAGCATGAATCAGCCACAGGTACACACATGTCCCCTCCCACTGTACCCCACCCCACTAGGTCGTCACAGAGCACTGGGTTGTTTCCTGGGTCACGCAGCAAATTCTCACTTGATGTTCACGTATGGTAATGTGTGTGTTTCCATGCTCCTCTCTTTCTGTCCCACCTCTCCTTCCCCAGCTGTGTCCACTGATCTGTTGTCTGTGTCTGCATCTCCACTGCTGCCCTGCAAATAGGTTCATCAGTACCATCTTTGTAGATTCCATATTGCACACGTTAATATACACTATTTGTCTTTCTCTTTTTGACTGACCACTCTGTATAATAGGCTCTAGGTTCATCCATCTCTAGGACTGACTCAGATGCGTCCTTTTTTATTTAATAGCTGAGTAGTTTTCCACTGTATATATGTACCACAATTTCTTTATCCATTCATCTGTTGATGGACATCTAAGTTGCTTCCATGTCCTATCTATTGTAAAAAGTGCTTCAATGAACATTGGGATTACATGTGTCTCTTTCATTTATGGTTTTCTCAGGCTATATGCCCGGTAGTGGGATTGTTGGGCCATGTGGTAGTTCTATTCCTAGTGTTTTAAGGAATTATCATACTAGCTGTATCAATTTACATTCCCACCAACAGTGCGAGAGGGTTCCCCTTTCTCCAGATCTTCTCCAGCATTCATTGTTTGTAGGTTTTTTACTGATGACCATTCTGACTGGCATGAGGTGATACTTCCTTGTAGTTCTGATTTGCATTAATAATGAGCTATATTGAGTATCTTTTCATGTTTGTTGGCCATCTATATGTCTTCTGAGAAATGTCTGTTTAGGTCATCCATCCATTTTTTGATTGGGTTGTTTTTCTGGTTTTGAGCTGCATGAGCTGCCTGTATATTTTGGAGATTAATCCTTTGTCAGTTGTTTCATTTGCTTATTGTTTTTTCTTCCATTCTGAGGGTTGTCTTTTAATCTTGTTTCCTTTGCCATGCAAAAGCTTTTAATTAAGTCCCATTTGTTTACTTTTGTTTTTATTTCTATTACTCTAGGAGGTTGGTCATGGAGAATCTTGCTGTGATGTATGTCAAAGAGTGTACCACGTATGTTTTCCTGTAAAAGTTTTATGGTTTCTGGCCTTACATTTAAATCTTTAATCCATTTTGAGTTTATTTCTTGTGTATGGTGTTAGTAAGTGTTGTAGTTTCATTCTTTTTACACATAGTTGGGTTATTTCTTGATAAACACATGAATAAAGTCTTGTCCTACCAGATTATATATCCAAGTCTCATCTGGGATTCTCTCCCAAAGACCTGTTAATTTTCGTTAGAAGGTTATTGGCAAAAACTTGGAACAGCTTAGTAGCATGTTTCATAAAGGAACTGCTAGCGTGACATCACAGGAACAGGATCTAGTGAGGCATATTTTTCCTGGAATCAGTGTCACTTTATGTTGATTTTGATTGTTCTGAGCCTGTCAGTTATTATTAAGAATGAACAGTGGTATTTTAAATAAGCTATTAAGAGGGAAAAAAAAGTATGCCTTTGTGTAGAGATCAAATAATCTACTCTGTATTACTAAGCACAGATCAAATCCTATATGTGCTAAACAAAGTTTTGTAATTCACATATATTTTCAAAAATACTTCTGCTCCCAAACTGTTAATTGCTGTTTTAATTTGGTTTATCTGTATTTTTTGTGCTTCTTTGACTAAATATTGCCATAGCTCTGATATAAGAAAAGTTGAATGAAAGAAAATGAGAGGCTAAAGTTATCAAAAAGTTGAAGATTTGAGTCGTAATCATATCTGAAGTCCTAAAGAGAAGGAAACATTTCTAAGCTATGGAGCAGTGTTTATAGTGTGTGAGATTTAGTTTGAGAATTGTATATCTTTAATTATTCATCTTAACATATATATGGCTTAACTAATATGCTTCATTTCTTCAATGCATGTGGAACTACAGTGCTGAAGAGACTACAAGAGTATTACTAAAAAAAAGGCCTTTTTTATATTTATTTACCCATATCGTCAATATCTATACAGAGTGTGTCTTACCTGAAACACTCGCTTCACCTGTTAGGGTGCTAGCTAGAGCATTTCCAGAGGAACAAACCAGAAGGGGCTGGAGCTTCAGAGTATGTGAGTGGAGAATTTAGATGTCATTCAAAAAAATGTAAACTGGGTGTTGGACTGGAAACACTTTGTGTGGAAAAACGTTAGGAACTGTGGTGCTAAAACTCCTCTAGAGTAAGGATGGTCTGTTGTGGGGAACATTCCATACTCTTGGACACGAGGAAGGCTGTTTAATTCAGAGCATTAGTGATTAGCAAATTGCCCTGGAATCAAAAGATTTGGTACTTGAGTTTAATAAGCATTCCATTATTTGTTCGAAATGCTCAGTTTGCTGAAATTTGGGTGAAAATACCTTTTGAAGACATAGTCTCAGAGCCTTAATGATGGCCGCTATTGACAGTACTGTAAGATGCACTGCCAGCAGATCTGACATTTTCCGTGTAGTCGGTCGTGTTTTCTAAGAAAGATTTTAGAAATCAGCTGATTAAATGTAACCATTGTTTCATTTATGGGATGAAGGACTAAAGCATTTCTCCTTGAGAACAAACTCCGTTTGGAAAGGCTGTCTTGGCGGTTGGGGTGTCTCTGGAAGCACCCCTGGGAGACGCTGCCTGAAGAACTGCTTTTCCAGCTTGTACCAAGGTTTTTTCTCCCCTGAAATATACTGTACATATTTTCCTGATAACATCTTCATTGGTCGGATTGGTAATAACTGTAGTAATATTTTAGGTCCTGTTGGATTTTCAAAGGCAGATTATTTATTTTCTAATTTGCTGCTAAAACTGAAAAGCTGATAACTGGTCCCGTTGACTGTGCCTTCATCACTGTTTCTCTGTGCCACAACCGTTCATGTGTATTTGAAATAAAGAAGTTTAAAAAGCCATGTTGAATTCAAGACTCCTTCTAATAAAAAACAGGTAAAACTTCATGAGTACCAAGCTTTTTTATTATTATAGTTTTAACACTGATATATAATAATAGCTTACCGGGACTATTTTCAGTTAGAAAACAATAGTAGATTTGTGTGTTTTGCAAAGTCTTGAAAGAAAGAAAAAAAAAAGCCTTAGTTGTTAAGACCATGATTACCAGTGTTACAACAGAGGTTCACTCATACCTTATGTGGCTATACAGTTCCCGGAGTAAGAATAGCTTCTGGGGGCCTCTTCAATCTACTACATTTTGTTGGTTGGTTGTTTTTTTTTTGCATAAATAATGGCTATTAGTGACATTTACTGCCTGTAGTTCACTGATTCCTAAGGAGACTTTTAAAGCTTAAACTAGGACCCTGTGGCTTATATAAAAGTTTAAAATGCGGCCTGTTAGAAATGGGGGTGGCTCTGTACCTTGTCAGTAACAGTTGGGGAGGGGATGGGACACATATGACTATTACCATGTGGATAGGCATTCAAAAATAATTAATGTTAAAAAGTTTTACCTTTTTATTTTCCTCATGGCCTTAGTACTTTGTGTATCATTCTGTGTGCAAATATTTATGAATAAAAGGTTAACACTTTAGTTTAAAAAATATTTATTGTAGAAATGTACATTTAATTAGTTTTAAGGAATGTACTAAGTATTAACATTTACACTTCTTCAAATCTGCAAACTTCATACCTTTAAGATATCTACAGTGATAGTGTATTTACAGGTTTCATGAGACATCACCACCTCACCAACACTTTGCTGCTGCTGACGTCGGGCCCCCCGCTCACTTCACTCTGTACTTGTAGAAGGAGCACAGCGCATGGGTGAAGTTCCAGCCCAGCGCTAGAGACAGTCCGTACAGCAGGATGAGCGGTGCGAACGGGTAGAGGAGAGTCACTGTGTTTTTCAAAAACGGCAGTGCTGGAGAAGGACCAGGATTCAGGTTAAGGGTGAGAGTCAACATCGCCAGTTAGTAATGGATGAAGTGCTGAATTTAAACCTGTGATGCTTCAGAAGCTTCCCATCTTAATGTACCAGCAGAGATGGATGACGTTATAGGAAAAAACCAACTTTCAGCTGTTTGAGATTTCCCAACTAAGGGAGTGTCACACCTCCACTTTGAGAAGGTGAGATCTCAACTAGTATCCCAGACTTTAGGAAAGAAATGAAGCTCTCAAATATAAAACCCACCCTCAGGTATCCCTCAGGTATCTGTGTTTCTTTCTCTCTCACTTGTGGTTTCCTATTAGTGGGTTCATAGCCCATGCATTCAAACCTAAGTATTTCTCATACAAGTACTCCCCAAACCGAAACTGAGCGTGCCCAAACAATCTTCTAAATTGTAGGGAGTTACCAGGACAGTGATCCAAAATCCACTTCCATCTCCCCAGAACTAGAGACAGAACCTCCCCAATGCCCAAAACAAGGTGTTACAATTTGGGGGTGGGGGGTTCCTGACAAAGTCAAGGGGACTCTCTGACCAGTGGAATCAGTCACATGTGAGTCCAAGTGACTTAGGTTTACAGTAAGATCCTAATCATCTAGAGGGACAATAAAGGAAAGGGCTAAAATACATGACACTGACAAGTCATAAGATCTCTAAATTTAACTCTTAAGAGCAGTCATTTCTTAACATACATGAAGAAAAATAAATATGGTTCTCATTCATACTATGAAAGATGAACCAATAGCAGGATTGAATAATGAATTTATAAACATATCCTGAGCTCAGCAGAAGCTGGCCTTAATCTTCTGTGATTATCCACAGTACCTCTCACCCCTAGGCTGGAGTCTCCAGTCCAGCAGGTGGCCTGGGACCAACACAGATGTTTACAAAATGAAGAATATTTCAGAATCGTCCCCAATCATAAAACAGAAAATATGGCAAAGGTTTTAAACATGCCCATACACTGGATCCAACCCTTTCTTCATCTGACTGACTGCTGGTAACCCAGAACCCAAAAGCCTGGGAGAAAAGAAACTCGTCATGGGTTCCTGTAAGAAACCTGGAGAGCATCAGTATGGTTTAACATGGTTCCTTGAAATTATAGAGTTTGTTATATACCAGCAATGCCACTTTGGAGAGACGGGACCATGGATAAATTACTTAATCTCTCTGGGCTTGTCTCCTCATTTGAAAAATGGGGAGTAGTAAACCTGTATCGTATAACTAAAGATTAACAGGGAGAATTTATGTAAAACATCAGGGACAGTGCCAGCTCCATAAAAGCTCATTGTATTACTGTTACAACTTCTCCCCTCCCTGTAGTGTTGTCAACCAAAAAAAATCAATTACTTACCACTGTATCCTAAGAAAGTTACATAGATATAGTAGCCAACAGCAACCAACCATAAGGTATTTCCAACTAAATATCCAATAAATGTGTCTGTTAGGATGACATCTGCCGAAGAGACACGGACAATGAATCTTTTTTCAGTGGGTACAATGAAGACTTTCTGATAACAAGTTCAGAAGTAACTGCTACTTACGGTTGATGAAAAAAAGCTGTATAAAATGCAAAATGACCAGGAGAGGATAAAAAGCATTCAGATGCACATCGAAGGCATAGCCCCACTCCACATCATAGTCTCTGCTCTGCCGTTTCACTAAATACTTATTGGAGATAAACCTGAAGAAAAAGATAACATTTCTTTCATAATACAATAAAATTAACCCCATGCGTATTTACTGACTATCTTCTATAGCTCAAGCATCATTCCAGACACTGGAGACATGGTGGTAGACAAATTTCTGCCTTCAATCTAGTGGGAGTGGATTGACAACAATACAGTCAGATGGCCCTATGGAGAAAAACTGAACAGGTGAAACGTTAACTATGACGAGAGTCATGAGAGAGTGACGTCTGGGCAAAGAACCAGGGGCAGTGGTGGGAACCCCTGGGGCAGAGACTTCCAAGCAGAGAGGAGTCTTGAGCACAGAGGTGGGGGAGGGCTTGGCCTGCTTGAGGAATGGGGTAGGGGCTCAGAGCGCCTGCAACTGGTGAGAAGACAGCAGGGAATGAAATGGGAAAAGAAAAAGGAGCATCTTATAGACCCTGTGGTTGCTGTCAGACGTTTGGCTTTTACTCTTGGTGCAATAAGTCACTGTGGAATTCCCAAAAGGACGTTTGACTTACTGTTTTGACGGGGTTCCTCTGGCTGCGATCTGAGAACAGACCCTGGGGACAAGATTGGAAGCAAAAAGGCAAGAGGGAGGTTACTGTGAGGAGGAGATGAAGAGGGTTGCAGCAGCGGAGGTGCTGGCCTGGGGACGATTAGAGCTGGAGGCGGGAACAAGAGTTGAGTACTAGACAGCGGGAACCAGAGAAAAAGATTAGTCAAGGACAACTGAGACTTCTGCCCTAAAACAAGTGAAAGACGGAGATGCCACTGAGGTAGTGGCTGCACCAAGAGCGATCTGGGTGCAGGAAGGGGAGAGTACAGGAGTTTGGACCTGGCCCTGTTATGGTGAAGAAGTAGGAAATACAGAAAGAAGGTCTAGAAGCTTAGAGGAGCAGTCCACACAGGGGATATACAGATTCATGTCTGCAGATGGTATTAAAAGCCATGAACCTGAATAAGATCACCTAGAGAGTGAACACAAATAGAGAACAGGTCTGCGGCCTAAGACTGGGGTCACATACACCCTGCCAACCCCCGCCCCACTGTGGAAAGTTCAGTACTGGAGGAACCAGTAAGGAAAGAGTGGCTAGTGACATCTCCAGCCACAGGAACAATCACTCAAGCTCATGCCTCTGTTCCACAGCATGGTCTCATGGTTCCTTTAAATGATGAATAAATGAAAAGACAGACATCCAGGTAACAGAAAGACAGGTCTTCAAAGGAAAAGAACAAAAAGGATTGTAAAACAGTTATGGAAATTCGATGGTTGCTTCTACATGTGATTTCAAAGATACTGTTAAGAAAAATGCTATGCCTACAGTGGAAATAGAAAAAGAAACGAGAGGTGTTATAGTACTAATAAAACAGTCCTATACTCAAATTGTCTGAAAATGTCAAGATCCGAGTGCTCTGCTAGAACAAACTGGAACTTACCAAAACACCTTCCACTTGAGCCAAGACTGTGCTATAGAATGAATGGAGTAAGAAGCATTTAGCTCACCATCCAAGGGCTCCCATTCAACAGTCCTGCTGCTGCCCCCACCCCTCTGCTTAGCCCTTAAACAGGTACTTCCCAGGCTTCTGGCCTTCATCCAGGTCTCATCTCTAGAACACTGACATTCCTCCCGGGAGAGCTCAAAGACAGCTCAGTCCTCCCCTCCCACCTTCAGATTAAGAATGCCAGTCACATCCTCATGTTGGCCAGACTGCTGCAGCTTCCAAGTTCCCTCCCCCAGTGTCTAATGAACCTTTATTTCATTATCAACAAGTCCCGTGAACTCAGCACGAACCACATGGAATGCACCTGCACCCGAGGCCCACATGGGCACTCCTAGGCCTACAGCCTGCAGGCCACCCTAGAGGCCCTGGCTCCCCCTCCTCCCCACCATCCTCTACTTCTGGAATCACCACACCAGGCTTCCTCTGCTCAAACGCAAACCACACAATTGCACCCAGCCTCACCACTCTTTCCAGCTTCTCCTCCTCCACAGTCAGAAGATTTTTCATTAGTTCAGTTGCTCAGTTGTGTCCAACTCTTCATGACCCCATGAACTGCAGCACACCAGGCCTCCCTGTCCATCACCAACTCCAGGAGTCCACCCAAACTCATGTCCATTGAGTCAGTGATGCCATCCAACCATCTCATCCTCTGTTATCCCCTCCTCCTCCTGCCCTCAATCTTTCCCAGCATCAGGGTCTTTTCCAATGAGTCAGCTCTTCACATAAAGTGGCCAAAGAATTGGAGTTTCAGCTTCAACATCAGTCCTTCCAATGAACACCCAGGTCTGATCTCCTTTAGGATGGACTGGTTGGATCTCCTTGCAGTCCAAGGGACTCTCAAGAGCCTTCTCCAACACCCACAGTTCAAAAGCATCAATTCTTCAGCACTCAGCTTTCTTTATAGTCCAACTCTCACATCCATACATGACCACTGGAAAAACCATAGCCTTGACTAGATGGACCTTTGTTGGCAAAGTAATGTCTCTGCTTTTTAGTATGCTGTCTAGGTTGGTCATAACTTTCAAGGAGTAAGCGTCTTTTAATTTCATGGCTACAATCACCATCTGCAGTGATTTTGGAACCCCCAAAATAAAGTCAGCCACTGTTTCCACTGTTTCCCCATCTATCTGCCATCTTAGTTAGTAGTATCCTTTTAAGGCCAGATTTTAGAATTTTAGGGGCTTCCCTTGTGGCTCAGCTGGTAAAGAATCCGCCTGCAATGCAGGAGACCTGGGTTCAATCCCTGGGTTGGAAAGATCCCCTGGAGAAGGAAAAGGCTACCCACTCCCGTATTCTGGCCTGGAGAATTCCACAGACTATGGGGTCGCAAAGAGTCAGACATGACTGAGTGACTTTCACTTAGAATTTTACATTACGGGTGCACTGCATTTTCTGACTACCCAGCACATACAAAACCTATTGGACTGGTCAGAAGTTACAAAGCAAAATAACAGGTTGGTATCATCAGAGGTTAGCATCTCACAATCTTGCTCAAAATGTTAACAGCTATCATTTACTGAGCACAGACTGTATGCCAGGTGCTTTTCACAGCACAAGCTTTTCAAATACCTCACAAATAGATAATTAACTTCCATCTCCCAAGAAGGACAGGGTAAATGGCTGAGCTGGCATTTGAACCCAGGTCTCTCTGCAACTCAGGTTCCAGTGTTTTCTCTGATACACAACAGCAACCACCAGCCCCCTGCTGAGCTCACCCGCATGTCCACCTCTTCCACTAACCACACAAGAGCACCCATGAAAAAAATCAAATGCCAAATTGATACTCAGCACACTATTGCTGGTATAGGAAACCCAGAGAGAGTCAGATTGGGAACTCAGTCAAATAAAACCCGCTCGTGTGTCTCAGCAGGAAGGAAGCTTAACCAAAACTATCCTTTTTCATGTGCTTCATCTCATGTCAAAGATTCAAAGATTTCATGACATAACCCTCCACATTTTACCCATCGAGAAATGACCTGCTGACCAAGGCAGCAGAATACTGTGCCATGATCTGGACAACTTCAGCAGAATTGGCTGTGAAACATTTTTGCAAAATCAGGGATTTTGTTAATTCAACATAATCATGACATCAATTCACTTATTTGGTGCAGTTTGACAAAGCGGACCATCCCCTGAAGAGTATTTTCTGCTCTAGGTGCCAACACAGGAGAATGAGTTATGGTAATCCTAGCGGACACAATCAGTACTTTCAATTCATATAGTTTTCCTTTCCATCAGCTACTCTCTGAAGGAAACAGAGGGAGGCTCTACAGTAGCATCTGAAAAACCAAAGTTTCCGTACTTACCACATTAAGGTTGATATGAGAAGACCGACGCCTACACAGTCTATGAATACCACCCAAAGGAGCAGCTTTATCGTCTCAAAAAACCCCATGTCCAGTACAAAGCCAAATCCTATCGTGGACACTGCAAGAAAGATTTACAAGATGCATTCAGACACTTTGCTAGATTCTAAGCATATAGGTCAGTTTCTGCCTTTCAGATGCCCACTCCAGAATGGGATGCAGGTATGCAAACAAAACCCCTAAGCTATCTTATCAATGGATGTAAGTGATTAAGAAATGCAGATCACCCTGGAACACACAACTACCCTGAGATACCTGATGTTTACTGAGGAGGCCCCTGTGTATCTGTGATTCACCTGGGTAGCCCCAGCATTCAGAATACGACCACTACTGAGAAGGCACTCAGATGTTTAAACCCAGTTAAAGGTGGGCTTCCCTGGTGGCTTAGACTGTAAAGAATCTGCCTGCAATGCAGGAGACCCAGGTTCGACTCCTGGCTCAGGAAGATCCTCTGGAGAAGGAAATGGCTACCCACTCCCGTATTCTTGCCTGGTGAATTTCACGGACAGAGGAGACTGGAAGGCTACAGTCCAAGGGGTCACAAAAAGTCAGACACGACTGAGACACTAAAAGTGGTTCAGACCCTTTCAGTGAACTATTGGCGAACTTAAAGCAGTTTCTCAAGATCACATTAGTACTTTCAGAACCCTCACTCTGGATCAGTCTGATGAAAGTGAGAAGTGAAAGTGTTAGTCCCTCAGTCATGTCTGACTCTTTGTGATTCCATGGACTGTAGCCCACCAGGCTCCTCTGTCCATGGGATTCTCCAGGCAAGAATACTGGAGTGGGTAGCCATTTCCTTCTCCAGGGGATCTTCCTGACCCAGGGATCGAACTCGGGTCTTCAGCACTGCAGGCAGATTCTTTACTGTCTGAACCACCAGGGAAGCCCCATGTATTTATCATGGCTGTTGAAAGACATGGAGTGACTCTGTCCTGTGCTTTTCAAAGTTCCGAGGAACCAGTTTACTCTGGCATCTGCTTGGGACCTTTAAAGTCAGGAAGAATACCACTCTCTTTCCTGTGAGATTTTGGAGACTTCAGAAAGGAAGACAACGGCTTCAGAGAACCCCAAATTATGACCCATAGCATGCTGACAACAGGATTCTCCAAATGACAAGTCCAACCTGAAACACTCAATTGATTTCTCAACTCTCCTGCAGATAAACACTTACCACAGAGCCAGATACTTAACAGGACCAAGAAGGCTGGGTCATCCCTGGCCCACTGATCTTTCGTCTGCTTCCTATAGTGAAAGTTTCTATAAACTCTCTGTGGGGAAGTGAATAGGTAGAGCATCTGCCAGGCAGCAAACTCAAAGTCCATCTGCCGGAAACGGAAAAGCCTCCTCAGGTATTTGTAGCGTTTTGCTCCGGCTGTGTGTCTGGCTGCATCCCTGGAACTCAACACTCCGTTCCCCTGCACTGGGGAGTTCACCGAAGTACTTGGTAACATCTTCCTAGATAGAAGGGGCGGGGGAAATTATATTATTAATACAAATCACCAGAAGTAACTGCCAGCCTCTACCACCGCTCTTGTGAGTTATATAGGAGAGAAGTCACCTTACATTTCGTCCCCAATCCCTGAGAAGAGGCAGGACTCTAAAGAGAGTAAAGTTGGTTTTGAGGCTGATTTGGGAGCTGGAGAACTGCCCACTGCACTTCAGGAGAGGGCTGCCCCGGGGCCTTCTGAACCTTCATAATAACGCTTTTACAAGGTCCACCCAGTCTCTGCACTTCACATCTGTCAATCCTCAGACCTGCTCCACCTCTCCCCACCCCCTCCCACCCCTTCTCCAGAAGCAGAGATAGTGATGGAACCAAAATTTGAACTCAGGCAGTCTGAATCAAAAGTCCACCTGTCATCTGTGCTAACAATCAAGACTTTAAGGAAAAGCCTTTGCTGAAGCCAAACAGAAACGATGTTCCCGACGAGATAAATGGCTTATCATACAAGTCCATCAGCGCCTCACCAACAAGCAACTCGTTCATTAGCATGGAATGTAAAAACAAGGCAAAACTCAAACGCATAGTGTTTTACTTCCTGATAGTTCATCAGGGCAACGACAGCGTGGGAGTCCAGTGCAACCAGTCTGAAGTCAGGGAGGCGCTGGTCATCGTCCAGCCTCCATGTCCCGCCCCGGCAGCCCAGTGTCGGGCTCCACTCCCTAGGCCTCCAGGACGCCAGCTGCTCCCCGCCGGCTCGGGGCCTCCGGTAAGGCATAAAAACACAGGACGTCCAGTTACAACTGCATCGCAGATACAACAGCAATTTGTAATACAACCAGGTCCGAAACACTGCGTGAGACCCACACCTATGCAGACATCATTCGCTGTTATCTGAAATTCGGCTGTAACCAGCCTCCGCGATGGTGTCTGGCAGCCCCACCGCAGACCGAGCAGCCGGACCCGGGCGCGGTCACTCCAGGGCCGGGTGATGTGGGGCCGCAAGTCGCCGGAGGAAACTTGCCGGCGAGCCCGAGTAGCGCGCAGACGGGACCGTCGGCAGGCCTCACCTGGAGACCCGCGGCGGCGTCCACTGGCTTCACACACGCCCGCCACCACCGCCAGCAGCCGACCCAGCAGCCGCTGGGCCAACTTCCCTACCCGCTACGTTAACCGCGTGGGGGGGGGGGGGGTTGCGTCGCGTCACGTGACCCACAAACGCCGCGCGCGATACCTCTCACGTTACGTCTCTCGCAGCGCGCCCACCGGAAGTGGTTGCTACCCGGTCTTTTTCCGGTTCCGCCCGCCGCGGCGTCACTGGCATCCTGAGTCTGGCCGTCTCGGAAGGAGAGGGTGGAGGCCGCGGCCAGCTGGAGGCGCAGTCATGCCCCGGTATTACGAGGACAAGCCGGAGGGCGGCGCGTGCGCGGGCGTGAAGGAGGATCTGGGCGTGTGTCTGCTGCAGTCTGATTGCGTGCTCAAGGTAGCGCGGAAGCGGGGAGGCGAGGCTGGCAGAGAGTCCCTGGCGGGCCCCAGTGGTGGCTAAGTCGTGCCTCCGAGTTCGCGGTCCTAGGTGTCCACCAACTTAATGAACTGGGCGAGTCAGCTGTCGGAACCTGACTTCCCAATGGTGAAATTGGAGAAAACGGTGCTGCCCCGTTGGGTTTTTGTAAAGTTTAAACCATCTGGAGTCCTGAAACACGGAATGCTGCTGCTCTGCTGGGTTCTGGAGGCATATGGGAGAGTATCACAGGTTTCTGGAGCCCTGGAAAATGAGAACCAGTAAATTAGCAGATAATTACATGAACCTGGCATACTGTGTTGGCTCGTGAAACCTCCTTATTCAGTTCAGTTGTGGCTGAATAGATGCTGTATTTACTTTGTGCTGGTCTGAACTTGTTGGCTGAGTTCAGGATATGCTGTAGAAGAGACAGCTTTTTTATTTTCGCCACTTTGTATCTTGCGCCCCCTACCGTTGAACTTGTGGTTTTAGGTGCTGTGATGGGAGACAAGAATTTGCTGTCTTTCCCGCAATACAGCCACAGGTCTCTGGAGCCAATCTGATAGCATGCACATTGTAAGTCGTTTCCTACTTTTTGCGACCCCCGTAGACCCTAGCCCTCTAGGCTTCTCTGTCCGTGGGGTGGTCCAGACAAGAATACTGAAGTGGCTTGTCGTGCCCGCCTCCAGGGGATCTTCCCGACCTGGGATCGAACCCATGTCTTTTGTGTCTCCTGCGTTGGCAAGTGGATTCTTTACCACTAGCGCCACCTGGGAAGCATAGTGAGGTTCAAAGTCGACTGGCAAGCCTGGATTATGCCGTTCAGTTCAGTTCAGTTGCTCAGTCGTGTCCAACTCTTTGCGACCCCATGGACTGAAGCCCTTCAGGCCTCCCTGTCCATCACCAGCTGCTGGAGTTTACTCAAACCCATGTCCATTGAGTCGGTGATGCCATCCAACCATCTCAACCACTGTCGTCCCCTTCTCCTCCTGCCTTCAATCATTCCCAGCATCAGGGTCTTTTCCAGTGAGCCAGTTCTTCACACCAGGTGGCCAAAGTATTGGATTATAAGCTTCAGCATCAGTTCTTCCAATGAATATTCAGGACTGATATCCTTCAGGATGGACTGGTTGGATCTCCTTGCAGTCCAAAGGACTCTCAAGGGTCTTCTCCAACACCATGGTTCAAAAGCATCAATTCTTCGGTGCTCAGCTTTCTTTATAGTCCAACTCTCACATCCATACATGACTACTGGAAAAACCAAAGCTATTGACTAGACTTACCTTTGTTGGCAAAGTAATGTCTCTGCTTTTTAATATGCTGCCTAATTTGATAATAACTTTACTTCCAAGGAGCAAGCGTCTTTTAATTTCATGGCTGCAGTCACCATCTGCAGTGATTTTGGAGCCCCTCCAAAATAAAGTCTGTCACTGTTTCCATTGTTTGCCCATCTATTTCCCCTGAAGTGATGGGAGCAGATGCCATGATCTTAGTTTTCTGAATGTTGAACTTTAAGCCAACTTTTTCACTCTCCTCTTTCACTTTCATTAAGAGGCTCATTGGTTCTTTGCTTTCTTCCCTAAGTGTGGTGTCATCTGCATATCTAAGGTTATTGCTATTTCTCCCAGCAATCTTGATTCCAGATTGTGCTTCATCCAGTCCAGCATTTCTCCTGATACACTGTGCATAGAAGTTAAATAAACAGGATGACAATATACAGCCTTGATGTACTCCTTTCTTGATTTGGAACCAGTCTGTTGTTCCATGTCCAGTTCTAACTGTTGTTCTTGACCTACATACAGGTGTCTCAGAAGGCAAGTCAGATGGTCTGGTGTTCCCATCTCTTTAGAATTTTCCACAGTTTATTGTGATCCACACAGTCAAAGGCTTTGGCATAGTCAATAAAGCAGAAGTAGATGTTTTTCTGGAACTCTGATTTTTCCATGATCGAACAGATGTTGGCAATTTGATCTCTGGTTCCTCTGTGTTTCCTAAATCCAGCTTGAACATCCGGAAATTCATGGTTCTCGTACTGTTGAAGCCTGGCATGGAGAATTTTGAGCATTACTTTGCTAGCGTGTGAGATGAGTATAATTGTGTGGAAATTGATTATAATTTCAGCATTCTTTGGCATTGTCTTTCTATGGGATTGGAATAAAATCTGACCTTTTCCAGTTCTATGGCCACTGTTGAGTTTTCCAAATTTGCTGGCATATTGAGTGCAGCACTTTCACAGGATCATCTTTTAGGATTTGAAATAGCTCAACTGGAATTCCATCACCTCCACTAACTTTGTTCGTAGTGATGCTTCCTAAGGCCCACTTGACTTCACATTTTAGGATGTCTGGCTCTAGGTGAGGGATCACACCATCGTGATTATCTGGATTGTGAAGATCCTTTTTGTATAGTTCTTCGGTGTATTCTTGCCACCTCTTCTTAATATCTTCTTCTTCTCTTAGATCCATACCATTTCTGTCCTTTATTGTGCCCATCTTTGCTTGAAATATTCCCTTGGAATCTCTAATTTTCTTGAAGAGATCTCTAGTCTTTCCCATTCTACTGTTTTCTTCTATTTCTTTGCGTTGATCACTGAGGAAGGCTTTCTTATCTCTCCTTGATATTCTTTGGAATTCTGCATTCAAATGGATATGTCTTTCCTTTTCTCCTTTGCCTTTCACTTCTCTTCTTTTCACAGCTATTTTTAAGCCCTCCTCAGACAACCATTTTGCCTTTTTGCATTTCTTTTTCTTGGGGATGGTCTTGATCACTGCCTTCTGTACAGTGTCACGAACCTCCGCCCATAGTTCTTCAGGCACTCCATCAGATTGAATCCCTTTAATCTATATGTCACTTCCACTGTATAATCGTTAGTGATTTGATTAAGGTCGTACCTGAATGGTCTAGTGGTTTTCCCTACTTTGAATTTAAGTCTGAATTTGGCAATAAGGAGTTCATGATCTGACCTGCAGTCAGCTCCCAGTCTTGTTTTTGCTGTGTAGAGCTTCTTCATCTTTGGCTGCAAATAATATAATCAATATGATTTTGGTGTTGACCATCTGGTGATGTCCATGTGTAGAGTCTTGTCTTGTGTTCTTGGAAGAGGGTGTTTGCTATGACCAGTGCGTTCTCTTGGCAAAACTCTGTTAGCCTTTGCCTTCTTCATTCTGTACTCCAAGGCCAAATTTGCCTGTTACTCTAGGTGTTTCTTGACTTCCTACTTTTGCATTCTAATCCCCTTTAATGAAAAGGACATCTTTTTTGGGTGTTAGTTCTAGAAGATCTTGTAGGTCTTCATAGAACCGTTCAACTTCAGCTTTTTCAGCTGAAGGCAACTGGTCAGGGCATAGACTTGGATTACTCTGATATTGAATGGTTTCCTTGGAAACGAACAGAGATCATTCTGTCGTTTTGGACATTGCATCCAAGTACTGCATTTTGGACTCTTTGTTGACTATGATGGCTACTCCATTTCTGCTAAGGGATTCTTGCCCGCAGTAATATATATAATGGTTATCTGAGTTAAATTCACCCATCCCAGTCCATTTTAGTTTGCTGATTCCTAAAATGTCAGTGTCCACTCTTGCCATCTCCTGTTTAACCACTTCCAGTTTGCCTTGTTTCATGGACCTAACATTCCCGTTCCTATGCAGTATTGCTCTTTACAGCATCAGACCTTGCTTCTATCACCAGTCGCATCCACAACTGGGGGGTGTTTTTGCTTTGGCTCCGTCTCTTCATTCTTTCTGGAGTTATTTCTCCACTGATCTCCAGTAGCATATTGGGCACCTGCTGACCTGGGAAGTTCATGTTTCAGTATTGTATCTTTTTGCCTTTTCCTACTGTTCATGGGGTTCTCAAGGCAAGAACACTGAAGTGGTTTGCCATTCCCTTTTCCAGTGGACCACATTTTGTCAGAACTCTCTACCATGACCTATCCGTATTGGGTGTTCCTACACGGCATGGCTCATAGTTTCATTGAGTTAGACAAGGCTGTGGTCCATGTGATCAGATTCGTTAGTTTTCTGTGATTGTGGTTTTCAGTCTTTCTGCCCTCTGATAGAGAAGGATAAAAGGCTTATGGAAGCTTCCTGATGGGAGAGACTGACTGAGGGGGAAACCAGGTCTTGTTCTGATGGGCGGAGCCTTGCTCAGTAAATCTTTAGTCCAATTTTCTGTTGCTGGTCTGTGTTCCCTCCCTGCTGTTTGACCTGAGGTCAAACTATGGTGGAGGTAATGAAGATAATGGAAACCTCCTTCAGAAGGTCCCATGCACTGCTGCACTCAGTGCCCCCCACCCTGCAGCAGGTTGCTTGCGGTTATTTTTGCATTTGGAGATGTAATTTCAGAAAGTTGCCTTTATTTCCAAGGAAAGACAACTACCCAAATTTGGACATCAATGATATTGGTGTTTCTGCTGATTCATGATTTACATTTGGTTCACTGGTGTTGGCAGGGTCTGTGTGAAGTGAAAGTCGCTGAGTCGTCTGACTATATAGTCCATGGAATTCTCCAGGCTAGAAAACTGGAACCTTTCCGTTCTCCAGGGGACATTCCCAACCCAGGGGTCAAACCTAGGTCTCCCACCTTGTAGGCAGATGCTTTACCAGCTGAGCTACAAGGGAAGGGCTGTGAATACTTGTTTAATGAGTAGAGGAGCAAAGTGCCTTAGGTGCCCAAGGGAGAGCAGCTTATTTTGCTTGAGAGTTTGGAAACGTCTCACCAGAGGAGGCGATCTTTCCTCTGAGTCTGAAAGGTTGAGTAGTAGTTGATGCAGTAAAGGAGTGGAGGCTTTGGTGGTTGTCGGGAGACTCTGAAAGAACAGCATGTGCAGAAAAACCAGGGAGATGTGGGAGGGCCACCCAGAAGCTGGGCTGGAGGAGGGGAGAAAGGTTGCCATGAATGATGGCCCTCGCGTGTCAGAGTGAGGAGCTTGGGCACAGAGTAAGACTGAGGAAAGAAACTGGAAATGGAAGAGGACACTA